TTCACGAAAAAAATCACACAAATGACCTGCATAATTTCAAAGCTGTGACACCATAGGACAGTTCAATTATAAATGAGATTTCCAGCTTCTCGTTTTCACTATAATGGGAAAAGTACTGAAGATGCACTAAATATTTGGAACATAGAAATAAACCCGGTTGTTTGATACTTGAATCTTCATAGCATGAAAATTCAGGAAGTATTTGATACCATGTCTAGAACGAATTGGCTTCAAAGAATTTTTAGAGGAACTGGCATAGGTTACAGATTATTGATGGACTATATGTTTGTAATCTTCATCTTCCCATATCTCTATCCCATAGTGAAAATGGACAGAGTGGTGTTTGTACATTAAGTAGTTTGTTTAGAGTCAGATGGTATCAAATGGGGGCCTATTCCTTTTCGCCTCAATAATAAATGGCTAAAGATGGATAGGTTCAGAACTGTTGCTGACACATGGAAGAATTCTATACAAGCAGGCACAGCTAGCTACAGACTTGCATCGAAATTGAAAGAGCTGAAAATGGTGATTAAGAAGTGGACTAAAGAAGTGGGCTTAGGGAGGAGATGTGCATTAACGATCTATTGGCTGAGCTGGATTTTCTAGATAAAAGGGGGGGGTCTGGTTTGCTGTCCAATGCTGAAAGAGAAAAGAGGAACAATCTAAAACTGGAGCTGGCCAGCAAATTACATCTAGAAACTATATATCATGGAGGCAAAAACTTAGAGAAAGATGGCTCAGGGATGGCGATAGAATTGCAAAATATTTCGACTGCTCAGCTAATCACAGAAGAAGATGCAACTTTGTGGAAGAACTTCAAATTGATGGGGGCAGTGTACAAGAAAACGATGCCTTAAGGAAAGGGGCTAGAGTCCATTTTCAAAAGCTGTATACTGAGGAATTTCTCCTCAGACCTACTTTTGATAACCTTCAGTTTAATAGTTTAAATGTTAGGGACAGAATTTTGCTTGAGGATGAGTCTATAGAGGAAGATATTCATGCCTGCCTGCGGGAGTGTGACGGGGACAAAGCCTCGGGGCCGGATGGCTTCAATCTTAAATTTCTATAACCCTTATGGGAAGACATGAAAAAAGACAAAGTTGAATTCTTCAAAGATTTCCACAAGAATAGCTCATTTGTAAAATCTCGCGACTCTACTTTTCTGGTGTTAATATCAAAAAAGAATGATGCCAAAAGCATAAGTGACTTCTACCTGATCAGTTTGGTTGCCTGTGTTTACAAGCTTATCTCTAAAGTCTTGGCCAAGAGACTATCAAAAGTACTCAATCAAATTATTGGTGGTTGTCAACACACATTCGTCTTCGGGAGACAAATCTTGGATGCCATTCTCATTTCTAATGAGATTGTGGATGATATTCACAGAAACAAGGGTAGTGGGGTGCTATGTAAGTTGGACATGTAAAAGACCTTTGATCATGTCAGTTGGAAATTCGTTGACGACATGCTTGGTAAGCTAGGATTTGGACCAAAATGGAGAAGCTGGATCTGTGCCTGCATTACCTCCACAAGCTTTTCTGTTATGGTTAATGGGGGTCCCTCATCCTTTTTCACAGCTTATAGGGGCTTGCGGGAAGATGATCCCCTTTCTTTCCTATTGTTTCCAATCGTGATGGAGGCTTTGAACAAATTCTTCTCCAATGGTGGTAGATTAACTCTTATCAAAAGCTCCATCTCTAATCTCCCAATTTATTACCTATCGATGCTCACCATTCTGGAATTTTGCAAAGAAATTCGAGTCAATTCAGCAGAATTTCCTTTGGGGAGATGTGAGACTAAGAAGAAATGTCATCTTGTGAGCTGGGATGAGGTCAAAAAACCCCTTTGGTGATGGCAGACTGAGCTGAGATCTATTTGTGCGCTTAACGAAGCTCTTTTTGGTAAATGGATTTGGCGATTCTGGAATGAGATAAATTGTTTATGGAAGTCTGTTGTTGACTGCAAATGGTTTGGAGATGACAAAAATAATTTTTCATTTCTTGAGAATAGTCCATACGGTATGAGCCTCTGGAAAAGCATTATGCATTGCAACAAGCCTGTCTTTGACTGTTCTTAATGGATTGCTGGAAAAAGTAACCAGGTGTTGTTCTGGAAAGATTATTGGTGCAGCTCTGTTAAGCTTATGTCCAGTTTCCCTCTTATTTTTGCTATCTCTAAAGACAAAGATATAACTGTTGAGAACGCTTTTGAGGGAGGCAGGTTTTGGAATGTAGAGGTAAAAAGAAATCTGCAGGATTGGGAGGTGGAGGAATATGAAAACCTGCTTCAAACTTTAGCCACTATCCTACTTAGCAAAAAAGAAGATAAATTACGTTCGAATCTCATGAAAAACGGGAATTTCACTGTAAATTCCTTCTACAGATTCTTGAATGGCTACAGCCCTACCAATCAGTTGAAATTCCCTACAAAACTTATCTGGAATACTCAAGCTCCTCCTAGGATATCTTTTTTTGCTTAGGAAGCTGCGAAGGAACGCATCCTCACTATGGACAACGTTATGAGAAGGGGTATCACAACGGCTAACCAATGTTACCTCTGCAAAAATTGCTTGGAAACTTGTAATCATCTTTTACTCTGGTGCCTCTATACTTACAATCTCTGGACACTGGTTTTCGGGCTGCTTGGCATCTCATGGGTCATGGCTGGTTCTGCTATGAATGAGATCCTTGCTTGGGAGGGTATTGTCGGCAGGAAAAAACAATTCAGACTTAGACCACTCACCATTTTCTGGGTTATCTGGAAAGAAAGAAACAACAGAGCCTTCAAAGCGAAAGAGGTTGATTTTGTCACTATCAAGGATAAATAGTTCTCTATTTTGGCTCTATTGTTTTGGGGCATAACCTTGATAGCTTAGATGATTTTGGCTCCATTGTAGATAATCTAATTGATCTATAAATGTTTTTGTACATGGGCGGCGCCCCCCTTTGGTGCCAACACATCAATACATCTCGTACTTTTATGTCAAGAAAAAAAGTACATTAAGTAGTTTGTCTTGGTGCTTTCTGTCCTTAGTTTCTGTGTCTGGAATAATAAACGTGGCAGAGAGAATATGTGCTATCCCTGCACTAGATTTGTTTTATTTGGATGAACAGTTGGTTTTGGAATGATATTAACTAGAGCGGAAAAATGGACCTGATCACATTTAGTTGGGACATATGTTTTGTTTGAGAATACCATTAGATCTACTGGAATTTCAGCCATGGGGTCCAGATCTGTGGATGATGCAATTACTATTTTTCCTCAGCTCCTACTTAAAAAAATACTTTCTGCACTTCTTTCTTCACTATGACGGCTTCTGGAGGTTCCATTTACCATTGGATTCGAAGTCAAATTTGTGCTTTGGTGATATCTGAATACGGAATCCAAACAACTTCTATGAGATTGCTCATTGTCTGGATGCGATGAAGCCATTCTTTATGGTAGTTAGAATTAACCCAGAAACTGGAAAATCAGGCGTAGTTATTTTCACTCCCTTAATGACTGAGGACCTAATTGGAACTGAGCAAGAAAGTTAAAGAAGCTTTTGAGCTTGCTACAGACTTGTGCAGATAGTTTCCTATACTATTTGAAAGATTGTTATTTTGCAATTTTATTTGAGTCACGTGTGTACTTGGACATTAGTTCGAGTGTTCACCAGAAAAAGTGGTTCCTTTGTCATGCACTTTATGTTTGGGAATGGCAGCATAATCTTTTTCAGCTCAGAGTGTATCTGATAAATCTAAAAGTTATGCTCTTGGAAAGCGAGTTTGTTATATAACACCGAAAGAAGAGTATTTATTGTATGGCTACCTTAATTCTTGTTAAGATATATGAAAAGAGAAACCTCACGTATCATGTTGCCATGAGGAGAAAAGATAAAGTAACAGGCAAGGGAACTCAGATGCATGTGTGACAAGATTAAATACTATCCATATGCCCCCCTACCAGCTTCTGGGTTGGCATATGGAGAATGCATTATGTTTTATACATGAAATTCCCCATGATTTTTTTACCCGTTTTCTTTAAATTAGTAGAGAGGGGAGCACAGATATAAAATCGCTTTGTGGAATTTAGGCTCTTGAAAGTATCAGTTCAATAATACATATACGTCAATTCACTTGATGGCTCATTTTACCGCTACAATTGTTTTGTCCTTGAGAGGAGAAGCATTTTGTCTGTAATTTCATGCATCCCTGGTAATATTGCCACTGGTCAGATAATAGCCAATTAGTTAGTCCATTTATTTCATTTCTTAAGAGGAATGGAGTTCTAAACAGTATAGCTTCACAAATGAGTTCATTTGTTACATTATTTCCTGAGAGAAAGCTGCCACTTAACCATGGTTGGACATAAATACTACCAATTGCTGCATCTCATGAAGCAGTCAACGCCATTTTTGTTTTGCTCTTCTTATAGGCAAATATAGGAGTTATATTTTAGTTGAATATGTCCTCATAAAGTTTATCAGATATAGGAGTTATTTTTTGTTTTGCTCTTCTTATAGCCATATGGAAGGTTACAGGGGCATGTGCAGTTACTAAATTGCTTGGGCCCATGTTCGATCCCTTAGACACAGTGGGCAGATACTCTTTCACCCTAACTTATTGTTTGGAGACTTATAATGAATCCCTAATCATCTTGACTAGGTTATAACTTATTGCTTGAGCCCATGTAGTATTCTCTTAGTTTGACGGAAATGACAATAATGCCAGTAAACTGTTTCAAAAATTAGAGGTCTAATTCCAGCAGAAATAAATTATCTGTAAAATATTAAAACATAGAGAATAAATCGACCTATTTTTGTATGAATTATAATAAATATACTATTATGTAAAATATAAGTGGACATATTTTTGTTAATATAATGGCTAATACGTGACATAGTAATGTAAAAACAATTAATTAGATCACTCTG